TAAATTCGTTCATTTTTGTAATTTTCACCTTCGCTTGAATTATAGAATCGATATCCGGCTATAAGAGATAAACATCTGATATTGCAGCGACCGGCTGTTTATGCGGACATCTTTAATTACATGTGCAACAACGGTTCACGTGAACATGCGATAATAATAATATAAATAATCGATAAATACTTTTCTCGTGCTTTTATGATTCGCGGCATATAACTTTATTTTCAGTGATAAATCTAAATCTTGATATGTATATATTCAACAAATATTCGCTAAAGCAGTATAAGTATTACAGTATGCTAAAGGAGAGATAACGCGAATATATGTATATATATATATTGTCGCGATAGCGCTCGAATATTGTGTACAACTATAGAAATCGTCACGAAGAACAACCATAATTGTAAAGAATGACAAACCGTGTATGTCAAAAGATCATGACTTTGCAAGATCGTTGTGTGTGTGTGTGTGCGCGCGTGCGTGCTGTAAAAATATAGAGAGACACTCGTCATAATAAAATGCTATATAAATTAATGTTTTCTCACTTTAACGAAATTACTATTTTTGATTATATAAATATAAAACAGCTCTTGTTTAATTTTCTAAAAAAATTTTGTCGCATTATAGATTATGTTCTCTCAACACATTAAGCGATGCATTTACATCTGTCAGATATTCGCCACAAGTGGTTGCATTGTTTGCAGCGAAATTAACATACGATTTGCTAATCACAGTTACGAACATAAATTGTGACATGTGACGACAGCGATACCGGTTATATCGAAACATGTTCGATAACATTAAAAGGCGAGACTATTATTTGAAAGATTACGCGTGATTTAATTGTATTGGTGAGATAAGATCTCTTATCATGATAAAGTACTATGGCTAATCTATTGCAATCTTATCAAGCGTAATACGATAAATATTTTGATATTTATTATAATTAAAATATTTAAAAATTTTTCAAGTATACCTCTAGGTGCCATTTTGATACCCCATAAACCTTTTAATTCGTTCAATAAAAAAAAAAAAAAAAAAAAAAAAAAAAAAATTTACACAAAATATTCCGGTTTCCATCGCGTCGCAATTTTGAGAAAATGAAATATTCAGCGTTAAAAAAAAAAATTACGGGAGATAACTTACTCTCTTTCTTTTATTTGAAAAAAGCTATTTTTTATTAAATTGCGTAATAGTATTAATAATATCTTAATACACTATATATATGCATATAAAATATGCATACGATAACACGGGCATCTTTTCGCGCCCGACTGGGTTAAAAACTGCTGAAAAGAAAAGAAAGTTTGAATGCAATGGATCCCACGATTCTAGATGCAGAATAAATACAACGTGATATATCATAAACATGTGATATAGTTAGTAATTGCGCCGTCACGATAACGGCGAAAAAATAAGAGCACGGTGCAATGTCCATCTTGCATTACAAGATGGCACACATATGCTTCATATAAGCATTCTCATACTTGCGCGAAACACAAATCTAAATATATAAATAACTTCTACGCGTGTGACAATGAGACTATATTTATACGCGCCGAGAGATCCTGAAGAATCAAAGATAATGGCAGATGCAAATATAAAAAATTTACAGATAAATATAATTACAAAACAATCTCATTTACAGATAAATATAATTATAGAACACTCAAAAAAATGTCTTGCTGATATAGGTAGATTTCTAGGTGTCACAACAAAAATTTATCGCTATTTTTTGTATCTGTTAGAATATTGTCTGTTACATATAGAATTTATAGCAGCAATATTCTAATAATATCTTCTAGAAAATTTAGGTCCCATTGCCAAATGTTAATCACTGCATTGGATAAATATGAGTTTCGATACTACAGCTAGAACGATCTTTGTGAGAAATATAACTGCCAATTATAACTGCAGCATCGAAAAATTGAGAGAAATTGTTTAAAAGAGCTAGATAGATTGGGCGCGTTATACAAATATGTTAGACGTGAGGATTATATATTCATTTGTTTCTTGCCGCTAATTTTTTCTGTGTACCACAGCCAAACTTTATAACAAGTATGATTGGCCTTAACATGGATAGGCGCCACAGAAAAACATTCTTTCTAAATTTCACAAACAGTTCAGATATAAATTCTGTCTCTGTCACTTAGATTGATTAAATGCGAAACATATGCGATATCACAGTATTTGCTAATCATTTATGTACCTCAGTTAATTTTGCGCACCCAGAAAATTTTTGCTGTAGTTGCAATACCACTTTTTTGAGTGAACAATCTCTCCGTGTATATATACGATTCAAGAAAACGGCGATGTATATATGTAAATTAAGAGATAAAAGATAAGAGTTTTAGCATACGCGACTGCATCTAGAATTATGTATCCAAAACTTAAACGTACATGAAAGAGACTCGACGTATTACATTACGTAGCGATGTCAATAAGAGAAATAATAATGGTATCTGCGTAAATTAGGTCTCGCCATACCTTGTTAAAGCACTGGGCAATTCGACCTTGACAGGTAGTCTTAACTTATGCATTTTACTTTATACGTACACGCACTACTATGTCATTTAAAGTACAGTCTTCTCTCTTCGCTTCTCTCTCTTTCTTTCGACCTTTCTCTATCTCTTTCGCAGCCAGATGCGTGCAAACGCATACATACACACGTGCATAAAGAAAGCACGCGCTTATACGGGACTACGTGCGAGATGTAACGGGAAACATAACCAACGAAATGCGCATCCGAATACTTTCTTTAGAGAGGAAAGGAGAGAGTATAAGAGAGAAAATAGAGCAAACACGCACGGTGCGTGATTTTTTGAGAGAAAAGAGATATTGAAAGAGAGAAGAGAGAGAGAGAGAGAGAGAGAAACGAGGGAGAGCCACAACACTAATGAAACGACACACGAACGAAACTAACCAACTATATAACGGAGGAGCGGGGGAGAGGGTTGGCAGTTCTAGCGAATGATTTTACATGGACACTGGACGGCAAACGACTCCTCTTCGGGCTCGCGTACGTCTCTCGGCGACGACGGACACTCGGGACTAGATTCACGACGCAAAGTCATCGGTCACACGCGATGTTAACGTACATACACACGGACTACGCACACACGCGAGTGGCGAACGCAACGCACGCTCCGCTCCGTTTCGGTTACGCGACGATCATTTGGACGACGCCACCGGCGACGATCCGTGGTATCCGTACACACTCGTACGTTTGCACCGTCGTCGCACGCACTGACGGCTGACGGCTATAAGCATACGGCGCACGAGCTCCGCGCAAGCTCTGTCCTTTGCCCGCGATTTGCGCATCCCGACTAGAAGCGACGTCACGTCGAGAGAAAACAAAGACGGCGATGTGAGCGCCGCCCGTGGCGGCCGCGAAAAGCCCGAGATTATCGACCGACACTTGTCCGCGAAAATTTGAATTCATCGTCGCGTCGATATCAAGAGTAAAACCTTAATCAGGCTCGATCGTTTGGATTGGCATTAATTATAGTCTACTAAATTATTTATCTTTCTTCTTCTTCTATATGGCTGCTTAGGTTTTTATAAAGAATTTGCCTATACGCCAGCTGGTGTTTAAATAAAAAAGGATCCCCCTGAGGATGAATTGCAAAAATTAAATCTAAAATGGAACTTGCGCGAGAATGCGCTCAAACACGCTCGCGAAATCATTTATCCTTCTAGAAAGAAACAGGAAATTTATACAATGATAGGGGATTTGATTAATATTGTGCTAATCATAAGTTAATATGTCTTTCTCTCTATATATTAATTTGTTAATAATTGATTAATTGTCTACCGCTACCGATATATATCCCATATATGCCTTATTTAACTTTTTCGGAAATAAATTATTTTGAGTTAATAAAACATATGTGTAAGTTAAGTTTTTAAGGAAATTTTTAAAAATATAAAAATAATTTATTTCAATCTTAATTTTAAACAAAATTTATATCGGAATCACGTGCATCATTAAGAACGAAACGTTACAAATGCTTACTGATCCTCATTATCAGTATCAGGTATATAAAAATACAGAATTAATTAATATTTCTTTAATATTTCTCAATTTGACGCCAATCAGAAAGCGACAAATTGCTCATCTCGCTTTTTTTTAAAGAATAAAAATATAAAAGATCAAAATAAATAGTTTATTATTGCTAACATTTTTATATCTCGCTATGGATAACATTTGTGATATTGTGAAGCACGAAAATACCTAATGAAAATACGTATATATATACAAGAATGAAATGAACGTGATGGAAAATGGTATTTTATGGAATATTAGCGATGAAAATATTGCTTTATTTAAAGCAGATGAAATACATTATCGATGCTGCTTTAATGCCGCTTCGAAGTACGAACGCGGCCATGATATATGATCCATTCTTCGTGCGATGATCGGATAATGCGTAATGTAACTGTAATAATAAAATAATGCGTAATATGATACATAACTAACAATAGTACAGGTCTCATGATTTCAAATCTACAGATGAGAACAATAAGCATGAAACAAAGGAAAGCCTGCGCTACAAAATTTGTTGCAAAAATCACCGAATTGCCAAGCTTGCACTTATATGTGTATGTATATGTGTGAATGCGTTACTATTAAATTTGTTATCTGAATCTGAATCGTTTTTTCCAATTCGTCACGGGCCTAACTCATTAATCTTAATTTAGTAAGAGTTGAATTAAATTAACTGACAATTTATTTGTTTAAATTTCCGCATATAATAAAAATAAACATCTAATTAGATCAAATCAAATAAAATAATACTGAAATAAATTTAATAAAAATGTTCTATATTTATAGGTGACAGAAAAGCATTTTTGGACTCTCTTAACAACAGCACGTTCATTTAATCACTGGTATCGTTCGCACAATTGAAAATTGCCAATGTGAAGCGAAGCTGCATTAAAGAGCAAAAAGAAAGTATATGTACACGGAAAAGCACTTGCCGAGAAAACAGATGATCGCTTACCTAAGCAATGCTTTCCTCCAGCAATAGTCCGTCTCGATAACGAGCAACTGCAATTTCATCATATATGTGGAGGTGGCCCAAGACATAAAAACGAATCCGTGCACGCTGCAAGGGCTTTTCTCTTGGCGAAAATCCACCCCTGACACTTTTTCCTTCTCGCAGATGAAAGCGCAATTCTGTATTATTCAGGCCGCGATTAGTCGCGCGCGACCCAATTATCCGAGTACGGGTCTGTACTATCGATCAATCGGAACGGAACACACGGAACAGATCGGAGCGCAGACGCTTTTTCTGTCTCTTCTTCTTTCCCTGCTACTGAGAGAAAGAAAAAAGGAGATGCTAGAACTCCTCTGGAAAACGCGGATGAATCACACTGACAGCATCTAAATGAATGTGTTAAACGCGATGACTGCTTATCCATAGAGAATGGAAGCGCGCGAGCGACGGGATCTCCTCAAACACGAGGACGATATCTTCCAATTGTCATTTTCGTAGCTTCTTCTCGTCGTTGCCTTCCTTTTGTTGCTGCCCTTTTGCACTAAAACACGGACAGTGACGAAAAAAAGAAAACGACGACGGAGTCTGCCTGTCTGGCTGCTTGCTTGCCTGCCCCGTGACTGGCATCAGTGTTTTTCGGATGCATTGTGACAAGGCGCACGCGCCACCTCATGGATCGCCACCCCTCTGTCACGGACGAGCATTACAATCGGCTGGTTAACTACGTTAGCTGCCAATGACGTCACGCAATACGATTCATTCATCGAATGTTCGACGACCGCACATGGCTGACCCTGAAGACACAAGCATTTGGGGTGCGCGTCCGGGTCTCTTCTTCTAGACTAGAACACTCGTTTTCTCAGAGGATGAAATCTCTAGATGGAAGGATAATCGGACAAACAATTAGGAATGAAATAAAATTAGGGATTATCGTATTTCTTCGTCTACGCGAACAGAAACTATAAATATATAAGTCAGAGGTATTTAATAAAGTTTAAGTTAATACACTTTATTCATAATTCAAAATTTAATTTGAAATTCAACTTCCAATACATTTAATAGAATACATGTATCTCATAAAATCTATATTTTCATAAAATATCACAAAAAGAAGAAATAATATGATGAGAATGACATTTTAGTTGCAAAGGCAAATATCACATAGTGGCATTATAAAAAATTCTATCTGACCTCCTTCCCGAAAAATGGATAGTAATAATCGTTTTTTCCATACACAAGATTAGATGCATAAAATTCAATTAAATTTATAGTAAATTTTATTAATTTGAAAAAAAATAAAAAATATTTTTATCAAGTTGAAAAAATTAATACAAATGAAACTATATGTAGATATGGAATTGAGAACAAGTGCAATTAAAAATGGATATGTGTGCGCGTGCATGCGTAAAAGTCGAAAGGAATGAAATTTGTAACAATATTATTTAGAATAACACTTATTAATTTATTATACATTTATATAATATAT